AAAATCCAGGGTGTCCAGGTTACTGCACCGTTCCTTCTTACACTAGTGAACTCTTGTGTAAAGAAGCTTTAAGTGTGGATAAATGATAGTAGCTACCAGAATGTAGTTTGTATACCTGGATTCAGTGAACAGAAAGCAAACTGAGAACAACTTAATACCAAACACTTTATTACTTATGCTTGTTATTTACATTATTTACATATTGCACGTTCGCTGGAATGTTTTATACATTTATTATATAAAGTAAATTAATGGCAGCTTGTGTTTGTGTACAAAATCCATGCTCCACTGTCCCAAAAAGTATGTCTACTTGGAATTACGTTCCTATTTGTCATGCAATTTGTACTCCAGGGTACAATGTGACCCCAATGCAAGTCTGTTTTAACCAAACTTTTAAAAAAATTGTATAAGCATGAAGGATATCAAGTGACCACAACTACTGTGGAGCAGATCTTTAGTAGTTCTAGATATACAAACAAACATTCCTTAAAACTGTAGAATTAAGCAACAGAACATTAATTTTCTTGGTGAAGTATTTGTGTTTACATAATTTTTGGCAGCATTACACATCAATTGTAGTGTGTTTTTAAGTATGGAGCATTAAGTACTACTGGCAGTTATGCTACTGTAGAGAACGTCAATCTGCAAACTGTTGATGACATACAAAATGTATGTTAAAAGAATTATGGGAAGTAGTCAATCTGCAAAAATAAATCTCTTGTTCACAATGGAATTCGCTAAAAGGTAGTAAGTTCTATTTCCCTGTTGGTTTCCAAGGCACTTCTCTTGGTTCTTGGTGTTTCTTGTCATGGTAATAACATCTGGTGGATTAAAAGAAAGAAGAAAATAGCCTTTCATCATTTTTATACTCACATACATGTATTTCAGAATGTGAAAATATTCAGTAGTAATGTTGGAAGTATCAGTAGTGAATTCCAGATTTAGCTCGGCTCATATCAGCCTGACTCTTATATTAATTCTTTCTTTATTAATCAAGGCTAAAATTCTGGAAAGCATCACTTTTTCTGATGGTTCATTTTTGGTGGATACATTAGGGAAATCCAGTTCTACATATCAAAAATGTGGTCATAGTTAATCTGTTCCAATGACTGCATCTGTGAAGTCAAAAAGTGAATAAAACTCAGGAATAGCATTAACAGATTGCAAAATGCTGTCTAGTCGCCTTGGTGTCAGGAGCAGTTGATGGCATGTCCAATTTGAAGGATCTAGGAAGGATCTGATGTTTCATTGGGCCCATTTGTGAAGAAACTTGGAGACAAATAAACAAGAAACAAATAGAAGTACCTTTTTTAGAGTTGGTTGTATAACTATAGACCCTGGACCATGCCAACACTGAGCCACCACAAAACTAAGGAGCTGCAGTGGTTTAATTTGCTGCCTGTTCTATTAAGTCTTCCAGAAGAGATTATTGGAATGAAATCACAACCATGCCTATGACATTGATATCAAAATCACCAATACAAAATTACAGTTTTCCAGACTGCTTATGTATGTAATGCATATGAAATGTTGATTCAAAGGTGAGCAGTGAAGGTTTTCATAACCCTACTCCCCCACACTTCTAAAGCTTTTAAGAAAATATTGTGTAACTGCATATACACATATCTAGAAGTCTATCCCTCTCCTAGACAGGTGAGCACTAAATGCTACAAGTCTGTCCACCCAGTTTCATGTGTTTCTATGCCTGTTCTTATTTAGAAGTAAAAAAGTGTACGTCTTTTCAGTCAGCAGGAACTACACAGCTGAAAGACTCTTACATGCAAACAGACCCAGATGAAGCTTTGGTGTCTTACAGCCATCAAAAATTCATGGGGAAGATTAAAAAACAGTGGTAATGTGATACTAGAATTCCGCTGATTATATTTTTCACAGTTAAAACTTTCATATTGTCTGTCTGAACATAGGTAACTGTCTTCCCCATAATCAGTGTGAATTCTCTGATACTCTTGAGCTTCTCTACATTTTCTACTGTTTAAGCATAATTTGTAATGGAATCATTTGTATGCAAAGTCAGTTGGACTTGACATAAACCATTGAAAATCAAGCTATTGGTGCATACAGAAATACTTGTTAGTAGTATTTAAATGTTTAGTTTCACAATTTTTGAAAGCTATTAGGATATGTAATAATGTTACAGAAAATCTTAATGTAATCTAGGGTTTTTTCTGGCTTTGCAGATGAGACAATTACTTTTATTTTTTTTTAATATCCTTCCTTAGAGGGGGAAACTGATGTAAATTTTCTTTGTCTTGCATTTTCATCTAGCTTATTTTCTGTAAGTATGCTCCTACTGTACCCTATTTAAGCTATGATGTTAAAAAGTGATGTTTAGGAGAAATTAACATGCTTTTGGTTTGATCAGTGTGTGGTACAATCTACAAGTTAAACACTGAAAATTCAATAAAAACTTTTTTTATTTCTAATGCGAATATGCAGCTCACTGGGGGTGAAAAAACAGTGGTTAGGATACTCATTTGTCATCTCACCTACACTTGCTTTTGTATGGGTAACTTAACAGTTTTGTATCAGGTAACTCAGTTTTCTAAACCCCTGGAGTTTTCAGAAACCCTTGAGTAGACCCCAGATTTTTAGCATTCATAAATCTACTTTTTATTATTATTTATTTAATATAGTTTGTTATATGCATCAGTCTAGGAATATTAGGCTGGAACTTAGCTGAAGGATGATGGATAATCTTAGTGGAGATCCTGAATACAATTTGACTACACCCTCTGTTGAGAACACAGGTAACTATACAACTCCCCAGCCAATTGTGCTTACTTTTAAAAGCACAAATAAAAGCTATTGTAAAGGCATATTACAGCTTTCCAAATTTGATTCTGGTTATTACCTGTGCATGATGATAAACTCTGTAAGAAAAAGCTAATCTATATGGGAAGAATGTAGTGGTTTAAATACCAATATAAACTAAAATAGTGTCAGTATGATTTTGTAGCAGAACCTCCCCATGCTTACATAAAAAAAAATTTTCCCAAGTGTGCACACCCAGGTGGAATTCTGCTGTAATGTGATCACAGAGATCCATGCATTGAAGATTATGAAGCTTTTACTGTTCCATTTGGTGCTAGCCCCAGACACCTCGTACCATAAACACACATGCCCACACAGGTATGTGTTGTGACAGTACGTCTTAACTCCTGTTTTCACATATTATTTTCTTGTTTGATCTTAGCTCTGAGTTTCAATGTCTTATGTGCTTTAAAGCTGTGCTAGTCCAAAATTCACTTTAAGTATAAATAAATATATATGGTTTATTGTCTCCAAATTGATCTCTAAACATGGATAGATGTCCACGGACCTGAAAAATCAAAAAAACTACCAGCCTGCCAAATTAATACTCCATCTATAGCTCAGCCCACTTACAAACCTGCAATGAAACATAAATCAGATACTGAACAAAACAGGAAACCAAATTTGTTTCACACAAATTGAACTGATGCAGTAGAAAAGCCTTGAGGAGAAAAGAGGCTTAATCTTGCAGAGACACCTGTGCATCTCCAGATGTAAGTGGTAGAGGATAGTGTTCCTTTCTGCTAATTGAGGCTGCTTAAGGAGTCTACCACTACTGATTTGTGTCTGTGTGAATAGAAGTGGACAGTTGTTGATGACATTGAAACAGAAAGCTTTTTTTACTGGACTTCATACTTCTGCTTTTTTTCTGTTATCACGGTTTTAGACTATTTGGCTTATTTTCCAAGATTACTTTTAATTTCAAGGTTGTACTGTATCATGGTTGCTTGTCCTGTAATACTGAAATACATAAATACAGTGTTGTATCACCCAAGTTATTAATGAAAATACTGAACAATATCAAACCTATAATGAAGCTGTGTGACACTGATCAGTACATTTTTCCAGTTTTGACATTGAAGCACTAACAACTTACTTATGTAATGACTTTTTCCAGTCATTTTTAAATTTATCTTGACCCTATTTCCCCAGCTTGCTTGTGAGAGTGATGTGCAAAAGTGTCAATGCTTAAAATAAAATAAAATAAAATAAAATAAAATAAAATAAAATAAAATAAAATAAAATAGTTAATATTCATTATTTTTATATTTATTATTTTTCTCACTGATTCCTTCCACAAGATGTTTATTTTTTCACAGAGTTAAAGCATCTTGTCTTGACAGCATTTGTTACTGACAAATCTACATGGTTATTAATTATCCCTTTGTCCAAGATGACATTTTGCCTCAGGTAAAAAGTTGAGGACAGAATGTAAATTATTCTTTCTGTATTATTTTACAGTTCTCTAAAATACAGATAATTTAGGAGTACTTTTTGGTTTGGTTGATTAGCTTTTGTTTTTATTTTGGTGCATGATGAAATCTCCCAAGTAGTTGTGGGAAATAGAGGCTCATCTAGGCAAAGAAGGAGGGAATTAACCTCTAGACATGAGAGGTGTACACAAGGATATCACAAAAAATCCAAATAGCTGGAAGTTACTTTATCAATGCTTCTATCAATACATTTTAACTGAATTACTGTAAAAGCACCTGCGACCTATCTTCATTTATAAAGCTTTGATGTGTATAGCTATGTATGTATTAACTCGTACTACTGAGTACAGCGCGGATCTACAGCTGCACACATAAAAGGGCGGCTGCTGCTGCCAATACAGGCAATTGTGTACTGAGTAAACTCTTGAAAAATAAGCCACAGCTGTTGTGTTTTGTTCTGTAACAACAAATTCACTATCTGCTAACTGTATGCTGCTATAAATAATTCACAGATGATGCATACAGGCGTTTATGTAATGACTTCCAGTAGGGGGTACCCTTTCCTTAATGCCAAAATTTGCCAGATTAAGCCAGTTACTTGAAGTCCTCTGGGAGGGGAATACCTTATCTAAAGGACAGTTGTGATTATACTCCATGAATTTTCATGTATGAAACACAACATCTACTGCTTTGCTATGCAGTGGAATGTCATTTCTTCTAAGAAAAAGCTTACCTTTATCCTTCCATGCACATAGGGCTTACTGCCAATCGAGTAAGAAGCCTGGCACATCTTTTATAGTCTGTATAAAAAAAAAAAAGAAAAGCAAAAAGCATGACCAGATGACCAAAGTAATCAAATTTGCCTTTAAAAATCAAAATCGTTTTCAGTGTGCAAATTAGTGTCATAGCATACTTCAGTGAATGCCTTAGTTTGCAACAGAATAAAAATCAACTCATTTGACTTAAAAGAGGAATGTGTAAGGATTGGGTAAAAACTAAAAGCCATGTCTAATAGCACGTGTAACTGTGCAACTGACTTCTGCACATGTTCTATCTGTAAACAAACAGCATGAATGTGCTTGGAGGCTCTCCATGTGTATGTAGGTATGTATAAAAATTTATACATCTGTGCCTGTGCTTCTGTGTGGGATCTAAACATGTGACTGTAGTATTTCCATATTAGAGAAAGAATAAGTAGTGCTCATCCACCTTTGAAATACAGCCTTCAATGAGCAAGTCTGTCAACTAAATATTAACTAATGCTACTCTCCAATAGATTTTCTTCCTGGGAAAGCTGTTAAATTAGACAAATAACATCTTGCAGTCATACAAATCTTAAGTCCAGCCCAAGTAGATGACCACATCATAAACATCTATAAGAGCATGAAGTTTCATCTTAAAACTAGTAAAATTGTTTTTTTCCTCTGTAGTCCTTTTGTTCATTGTTCTTATTTTAGGTACTTTCAAGATTTTGATGCATTCATAGTAAGACACTGAACCAATGCAAAACTAAAGAAATTATTCAAAAGGGTTTTTTTTTCCATTTACATGAAAAACTGAGAGCAAATATTGTGAAAGTTGGTTATGGACAGACAGAAAAGTAAATTATTTTTTACATACCAATGCTACTACGCTGTACAAAGTACTAGAAAGTATGCCAACACAAAGCTTTTGTACTTGCTACAGCAGTAGCCACCACACTGCAGCATCAGAGACAGTTTCTTTGCTGTTTGACCTTCAGATTTCTACACAGAAGGAACAGTATAATTTGAAGTCAAGGTATTTTTAAAAAGTAACATCATTCTGTGCATGAAGAATTAAAGCAGGTTGTTGGTCTCATTTTTTCTAGAAGAAAGTTACTTTAAAAAGAAGCTAGTCAATCTAGCCCAGTAAGTGATGTTCACTTTTGTTAGGCATTATTTCATTAATGAGTAACTACATTTAATGTTTTCTGGAGATGAAATGTTAACAATCCCCAGCTCACAGCATAGTTATGGTATAATTGCCACTCATACAAATTATCCTCTATTAACCAGACATTATGTTGGTGGATAGGTAACCTGTCAGAAGAAAAAGGCTAATTTAGAGCTTTAAAGGACTAGTTTTTAACTTCACAGCTTGGAGTACTCATTAATGCTGAGCCAAATGACGTTTGTGTTGTGAAGCTTATGAAAAAGGTAGTATGTCCATTGCTTGTTCAGAACAGACAAGTTCCGAACAACTTATATCTCTACCCATGTAAACAGAGTGTGATCTGGCTACTTGTCATCTAGAAATCCTTGTCTTTCCAAGGAATTCCTAATCTGAAGCCTTACAAATAGAGAAAATGTCCACAATTCTTACCAAATATGCCTTTAAAATGCACTGGGCTGAAATATTTATTAATACTTGAAACTTGGAATCTCTAACTCTTGTTTCTATTCCCAGCTCTGCTACTGACCCAACTGGTTGACCTCAGACAAATAAAATAAAGTGTGCTTCCATTCTGAAAAGACTGTACTAAAATAGCATCTGCTTACTCAACAGGTCCACCTCAGTATGAATCTGGAGTCACATCTACTGACTGATAAATGTCAGTGTTTGATTTTTATTTAATTCTCTGTGCTGCCAACAGTGATGAGGTATCATAAGCTGCATTTGCTTAGTTGGGTCTATCAGCACTTTTATTTCTTTTTTCTAAGCTAAGAAGTTGTACTTTAATAATTCACTGAAGACAAGTGTTGCAAAGATTCATTGTCCACATCACTGGTAGATTGGTAGCTGAATAGAAAATAGAAAATATCTATAAAATGAGTCTTACATAAATAAGCAATGAAAAGTAAATAACCCCACCTGGATTTGTGATTGACTTTACGGCACTAGAAATTAAACATGAAATATTTGTGAGAGGAGTCGTGTTCCTATGAAAAGCAAACACTTGGTTTGGAACCCATGAGACAAATACATCAGTACCTAAGGATGCAGTGTTTACTGACATTCTACATAGTGTATTTACAATGAGAAAGTTTTATTTCCATTTTCCTCTCTGTTATGCTGATGCTGTTCTGGCAATTCTAGAGTACATTTTGGTACAACGTACAATGCTTAGCACATTTTTGAGCAGTCCAAGTTTTTCTTTGCAGGGAATGCATTTTGACATTGTATCTCTACTGATACTTGATAGAGCTAATAAATTTTAGAGTTTCCTCTTGTTTTAGGGAAGTGTCTGCTTTTGTTACTTACATGCTGGGATGGTGCAGTCCCTTGTATTGTGATAAAGCCGATGAAAGTGTTTGCTACATTTTGGGCTAAAGTAGAGTGGACCTGAAATATAAAGAAAAAAGTTATGAATCAGCATAGCTCACAGGTAGAGCAGTGTAGCTTATGGTAAGTGTATGAAATATGGATACCAATGCAAAATTCAAACATACCTGTTAAATGCTTCAAGAACTTGTCTTTCATCCTCAGATCTCTGGGAACTATTTCTGTTGGACAGAAAAAAGGATAGTTACTCTGCTGCACTGGACCTATGCTTGCTAAGCATAGCTTGAGGACAGGGAATAATCTGTCCAGCAACATCACCACTATGTCTTGACAGGTGCACAGAGGTCAAAAGTCCTTTGCATACAGTAGGCCAAATTTCAAGCATTCACTTTACATAGGGAGACCTTGTAAAATGCTCTGTGAAACACAGTACTGATAGAATAACGTCTGTTAGGTGAGAAATCATTAATGACCATGTTTATTAACTAAGAGTCAGATCTTAGCTTTCTGTGAAATACATTATCAAGTTTACCTAGATTTAAATTCTTTCATATTACACGAGTGGTAAAGACCCAAAGATATTTTCAAGTCTGGTGTTGTGTCTTTTAATTCTCTTATGCAAATGTAACCACTATTCTGTCCCAGGTATGTCTGTAGAAGCACTGTTCTACTGTAATAATGAAGCTGGATTGATCTACTTACAGGAATCTTCCCTCCCTCCCCACAGCAGTAAATAAAATTCACAGGAAATGATTCCAAGCAAATTGCTCTCTTCTGGCTCCCTATGTTTGTGGTTTACCGCCTTGTGTTTTGTGTTCAGCAGATGGCAAAATGAAACTGGTTTACTGAAATCCATTTTAGCCCTAACCCCTGCTTGTGACTTCCTGATTTACAGCTATCTTTGATTGCTTTCCGTTACAAACTCTATGCTGATAGCTTAGTGCTGATTGTGTATGATACACTATATGGTGCTTTATTTATTTACTTGACCATGAATGCCTGAGCAGTCTTTTTCATTCCCCTGGCACCTCTTATCAGATATAAAGCAGAGAGCATTTCCATCCAGATCCGATTCACTTGTGAATTTAGACACTTCTCGAAAGTCATTCTTCATTTACTTCTAACTTTAGTCAGTGTAAGTAAAATTGACCTTATCCTATTTGACCTAATTATGTCATGAAGAGCATTAAAAACACACATGCTTCACTCAGAAATTTCCCATGAGACAAGCTCACTAGGAAGGTGATGCCAAAACTGAAATAAAAGACTCTAACTAGTAGTTCCTTTTCAGAGTTGCTGGGAAAAACTCCATTATAATAACAGAATGAAAAATCCTGCTTCAGAACCAGTAACAACACTACCAACTAATCTGCTCTGAAGCAGGATTATTGATTTCATAGATTACTGTTCCACACAAGCCAGATATTTCACACCAAGAGGGTGACCAAAAACTATGCCCATGTTCCAAGATGAGATTTAGAGTTCTGCAGATCACAGTTCCCTGCTTAGTCTGGCCTCTTTGACACTTCAACGTTTGTAAAATAAAATGTTCTTTCCTGTGTTGACCTTAAGTAGAACAAAATTGTCTTCCTCTGTGCATTCATTAATCATTCAGATGGAGAAGCAGCATCTTCATGACAAACACCAATAATTGCAAATTATGAGGATATTTGAGTATGAATGAGAATGACAAAAAGGTACAATGAAGCTTTCCGAGATCAATAAAGACAAAATAAATAGCATACTATCGAAAGCCAGTTTGGGAATAAGTGAGTAGATATTTGCTGGAAAATATTCAGAAAGTCACTTTCAGTTGGAGGGGTCAGATGAGCAGCAGTAACGCTGTGGGAGCTTGGGAGTGACAGGGAACACTAAGTTAGACATAGCAGCAGGAGAAACTAAATCAAGTTTCAACTGTGTGCATGGAAGTTCATCACCTAACTAAGCAGGTTAGAGAAGAGCCAATCAAACCAACAGAAGGATGACTGCAGGAGTGTCCCAAACTGGTCACAGCCTGTACACTGACAGAAGAGTACTGTCTCAGTTCCCTAGTATTTCAAAGGTGCTACTTCTGGAGTACAAAAGGAATTAACAAGCAGGGAGAACAGTTCAGTGAAGCCAGAGATGCAGGGAAGACTTCTGTACATAAGCTCTTTAAGAAGATACTACAGTCCTGCAGGAGAATTCTTGCTAGGGTCATTTCCAAGAAACACTTAAACCAAGCACATGATAATAAGTGGTAACTTTCCAGGAAAAAGTGTTTTCATTCCTTGTTTCTTTGATCTCAGCCCATTTCAGTCTTTTCCCATATTATTAGGTTTTGTTCAAATCGACAGGAGGTTGGACTTTCAGTTGAATACATTATCCAAAGAGTAAAAGACTCAGAGAGGTGAATGGAGGTTTTCTATTCCAAATTTGCCATCTGTGACTATTTCTGATACCAAAAGGAATCTGCAGGTATTTTGAGTGGTGAATTCTTAATACAAAATTAGTAACTTGATGCACTATCTCATTCACAGACGTACCCTAGGGAAAAAAAAAAAATGGACTGTGACTTACCAACTCTCTGCTCATCCTGGTATCCTCCGTAGTCAGCCACTTCTCTTCGATCCAAGTTGTAGTCATGCTTGGAGAAGTACTGCATCCCACTGTCCTTCTCCAGGTGGTACCTTTTCAGTTCCTGAATGATCTCCATGATGAGATTTAAGAGACTTTGCTTGTCCTTCAGATCTGTGGAGTCCGTTTTTTCTTTGCAGTATCCTGCTGAGAGCATTAAGAGTACCAGCCCCAGCAGCCCAGAAGACCTGAGTCCACTCATTGCAGTCCGACCTGAAGAGTGCATGAGCGGATGAAGTGGCAGGATCCGCTGCTTTGTGAGGTCTCCTGTTTCACTGGAAGAGAAAATTGGGGGTGGGTCGAAGGTGGGGAGACTCGTGGGGGTGAAATCGGAAACATTACCGGAGGAAAGAGCGGCGACCGCTTGGCAGGTTACACAAGGCGGGGACACAGACCGCTCCGGGTCGCGGAGGCTGGCGGAGTGGGACGGGGCGGGGGATCCGCGGGGTTCCGCCGCTGCCCCCGTGCCCCACAGCACCCGCCCCGCGGGCAGAGCCGCCCCAGCGCCGCGGGCAGCGTCCGCACGGCCTCCCCGCAGCCCGCGCCGGGCCCGCGGGAGGGCGGGGGCGCAGCTCCGGAGCGGGGCCAGGCTGAGGGTGTCCCGGCGGAGCAGATCCCCGGCCGGGACGGGCGTTCCGCCCCGCCTCTCCCCGCCCCGCCGCGGAGCGGAGGAGCACGGGCGAGGGGCGACAACTTTCCCCGAAGTTTCTGTCGGAGAGCCGTGGCTCCTGTCCTCAGCCTCGCTGCGGGGCTTCGCGCCCGGGCTGCGGGCAGAAGCGGCGGGACGGGAGGTGAGCGGCTGGGGGGCAACAGCCGGTGCAGGGGACAGCACCGCCAGTCTCCCCTCTTCCCGCTCCCCTTTCCCACAGGAGCAGCCCGGAGCGGCGGCCAGCATCATGCCCGGAGCCGCTCGCTTTCGGACGACTGACCGCCCCTCACACACGGCCGCTCCGTGCGGCGGCTCTGCCCTGGCAACTCTGGCGGGGTCCGGCGGCGGCCGCTCCCGCCCGCAGGCTGTCACCGGTCCCGCCGCACGCAGCGCTCCGGCCCGGAGGGGCGGGAGGGATGGAGGCGTGGGGAGGGAGACAGAGGGGAAGGAGGTTGCTGGCGGTCGCCGGCCGCTTTACCTGTGTCTCTGTCCTAGAAGCCGAGGTGTCTTCCCCCGGGAGCCGCTCCCCGGACGGCAGCAGCCTGCGAACGGCAGGGAGTCCGAGTATTCCGCGGCTGGCCCGCCCGCCCCCCTCCCGTCCCTGTGCTCCCGCCGTATCCACAAACTACTCCATCGCCGCCAGCCCCAGTGCAGCCGCTTATATAGGCTATAGGATGGACATGAGACGGCAGATAGTATCGACTTGGAAGTGGGTGGAAAACAATAAAAGTCCACTTGGCAACCTCGGGAGCGTCGCTGCTTGCACAAGCCCCCCCTTCCCGCCCTCTCTCCCCTCCCGCCCCGGTCCCCCCCGTCCCTCCCCCTGCTCGGTTCTCCCGGGCAGGGCTCAGTCACTGTTTCGCTACTCTCCGACGTAAGGAGACGGTCCCAAGTGTGTGTGCTTGGAGTGGGAGGGGGTGGCGGCGGGAAGATGGGGACGGGGGGGGGGCGAGCATCGCCCGAGCCTTTAATTAGAACCGCGCTGAGGAGCTACTGAAATATTGATGTCCCTGGCGCAGCTCTCGTCAGGCGGGTCCCCGGCCCGCGGCCGCAGCCCCGCGGAGGGCGGGTGGGGAAGCCGCCTGTTTACCGGGAACTCCGGGCCCGGCTGCGGCGGGGAAGGGGAGGTGTTGGGGCGGGGGCGAGCTGGCGGGGAAGGGGAAGGCTATTTCTGCTCCCTCCGGCCGGGAAGCCCGTGAAGAAGCGGCTAGAGTGGGTCTGGGTAGAGGGAGGGAGCGGGCGTGCCGCCTCTTTCGCCGATTCTTGGCACGGGCGGTCCCGGGTGGCGAGGCGGCTTCCTGGGTTCCCGGCGCGGCGCCGCCTGGAAGCGCTCCCAGCGGGGCCGGGAGAGGAGGAGGAAGAGGAGGAGGACGACGAAGGCAGTGCCATCGCCGGGAGCGCCCTGTCCGCTCTGGCAGCTGACGGCTCCTCGGCAGAGGTGACAGCCTGAGCGAAGGGCACTGGAAACGCGGGGCAGTCTGCGGAGAGCGCCGAGCCCCCTCCAACGAGAGCCCTTCCCCAAAGCACACCCAGGCTGCCGCTCTCCCCTCGGGGCGCGGCGGTGGGAGGTGAAACCCGATCCGGCGGAGCTGTCGCTGTTCGCTCTCCTGTGTGGCCGCGCTGTCCCTCGGCCGCGCGCAGCTGCCCCGCGTGCCGCCCCGCGCGCCTCCCGACCCCCGCGGTGGCCGCGCGCCGCGGGAACAGCGACCCCCAGCGGCCGGCGCCCCGCGCGCGCCCGGCGCTGCCTCCGCCCGCCGCCAGGCGGCGCTGAGCGCCCCGCGCCCCTCAGCGCTGTGGGCGGGCCGGGCCTGCGGCGCTTGCACGGGCGGGGCGGCCGCACGGACACCTCTGGAGTGCCTGCAGGCGGGCCCCCAGCTACTGAATCATATCAATCGATCTGTCTTCAAAACCAATATGTGGATGGCACATGGCTCTAACTACATAAATATCGGCCTGTGCTGTCACAGTGAAGGTACAAAAACATTAAAAATATAAAAAATAAAAAGTACACACCACACGATGAAGAAAGAGATCCAGGGCAAGACTGAGCAAGACTGCTTTGTCAGGTTTCCAGAATCCTTCCTCCTCTTGGCTTCATGGTTTGTTTCCAGTCACCTTAAGACACGGGGGGAGAAAAGAAATTTAACAATCAGTGCAACAGTTAGAAAGAATGTCCTTTTGCATGACATAACTTGGTATAGCTGTATTTACATGTTAGTCATTCCAAATATTGACACATTGAGGTCACCAATTGGAGACAGGGAAGATGGAAAACGAGGCAGGCAGAACGCAGCCTGGTGTTCTGTTCCTAAGATTACATTGCAAGTATTCTTTCACCCAAACTAATCTCTTTGGGAAAAGACAAGAATTGAAAGGGGATTTCAGCTAAACACCTAGATTGATTCTCCCCTTCCTTGCAGCTACAATTTCCATGTTGTTTTTGGTCACCATCATGTAAGGAAGGAGCAGCCTGTGTTTTGAATACACACCAATTCAAGTCAGGAATACTAGGCTGCATGTTTTCTTCTGTCTTAGATGTATCCAGACATGCCTGTTTATGTCTGGCATGGAGACCAGCTGTCAAGGAACAACCAGAAAATTGTTGAATAATATGGTTTATGTAGCTGTCTTCCCTTTGAAAAGACAGTGGACATTAGCGGAAACCGCATTAATCCGTCTTATGAGATATCTCTACCATGACTCTGAGAATGGGATAGCTGGAACTGCCCTAAGACACACCAAGGACAAGCTAATGTCATAAACAATTGAATTCAAATGGTCAGGAATACTCCTTTTAAATTTACTAATGTAAACATAGACTCAAAGTACAATGATGGTATTAGCTGAGATATGAGGTAGATGAACAGTTTGTTGTCTTTTTCTGCATGTAGACTCTGGGGCAAGGGTCTGTTCTGATTTGTTTACATTAAATTATACAAAGATACAGAATAGCTCCCATGACTTCATTAGAATTAAACTGAAATTCCCGCTGATAGGTTTAGGATGGTAATTAGTATTCCAATAGGTTATATTTCCTTAAGTATATTTTCTTAGGGCTCCATCTAAGCTAGCCATCTACTTGATAAATGCCTATATGCTACCAAGCTCCTACTCTTCCTAAAACTACAATCCCCAAGCGTTCCATCCACCCTCAGTGTGACTCCTGAGGCTTCTAAAGTGATTAGGTGCACTGTTTGTCATGGCTGCTCACAGGTTCTTGGACTTCTTCCCTGGATGCTGGGAAGTGCCTGACTCTTGTCAACACTAAACAGCCAGGATGGTGAAGGAAGCATTCTTCCAGGAATTGCAAGATGTAAGTTTTAATCCCTTCAGGAAGAGATGAAAGATGAACATACCTTCCCTGCCAGGACAAAAACCTGCTTGCTTTCCTTGAAAGAAGGTGGAGAGGGACATATGAAACTCAGTCTCAAAAAGAAACATGTACCCGGGAAAGCAAATCCCTAGAGTTAATGCTATGCAATTAGGTTTTTTTGGCTTGTCCTGGAGGAGTGGTTTTCATTTAAAAGCGATGGGATGTTTTTTTGTCTTATTTTGACAGGACATCAAGTTAGTTAACCCTTCCACAATCAAAATCTGTGCGTAGATTGATCTACAATGTTACTAAAAATGTGCTGTCTTTAAACTAAACACTGTGACCTTCAGGATAAGGGCTTCATGAAGTAAGCATGTACAAATGAGATCAAATGCAGCATTTGGTGGATAGTTTTAGCCAGTGAACCCTTCCTTGTTCCCGTGGTTATGAAACAAAGGCACTACATTTGGGATTTGGAACATGCCAGGCAGAATTTCTAGTTTTGTTAAATAACACGCATTAGTCACTGTTTTCACCAATTCCGTTCTTGTATTCCATTCTAGTATACCACGCTAAGACAGAAATGGAAAGATATCTTGAGTTCCTTTACTTACATGGTGTACATGAAAACAAGAAAATGTGTTCTCTTTGGTTCTGTTGTCTAAGACTGGTGAAATTTTCATGCTAAGAGCCCTACAGTTTTAAGCATGCTCTTGTTCCAGCTGATTATAACAGACATAAGGGTTCCTATCTATATTTAATAATAGCAAGTGCAACATTTTCTGAAGTGATTGCAGAGCAGAGATGATTGTCTAAATCAGGCTCATAACCAATATATGAACTGAGTGTACGCTTAGAAGAAAATTCCAATGGATATTTTATTTGACTAGGCTAAATAAATGCTTCTTGCATTGCTCTTTATTGACCTCAGAACCTAAAAAATGTTTTGAAATACATTTTCTCTCTTAAACATCACATCAACTTACAAAACTCTTGGTTTAAAAAACAGACTTTTCACTCCTCAGAAAAGAAAAGCCGTATTTAATCTTCAGGTTACACACCAATCCCAGTAGAGGTTAGTATTATGGAATGAGATGGGGATGGTAATTCTGCTGGGTTGAGTGGGTATCGGTTGACATGGCAATTCAACTCACAAGATGTTGACCACACACATGGAATCTGCATGTGTGATAGTTACTTTTAAAATCTACAGAAAAATACATGCACTGCATCCAACAGAACTGACGATACTTTCCACAATCTCTGTTCCTAGTTAATGAAAATGCAGAATGTTTTCCATATAATGTATTGTACATAAGTATAAAATAATATTTATGCACCTGGCTCGGTCATCTCTCTGAGCCTCCAACTCTCAGA